TATAAATATACACAGAATGAATCAGAAGACTTCATCACTTAAAGTAAAATATTGATTTGACGAAAAAGAATACAGTAACAAATTTGCAGCCCTTTCTGAATTGATTATTTACCTACCTAAAAATATTCAGTAAAGTCAATATTTATGATTTTAGATGATACTTTTTAAACATTCACCCCTCGCGCGCGTATGTGTGTGTATTTGTGTTCAGAGGAAAAATATGTATGTATATGTACCATGAGAAGTTGACTCTGCATCTTCCTCATCTGATTCTATTTCTTTGTCTTGAGATCTTTTTCTTTTTTTACTTATAAGTCCACATTTTCGACAATCTCGTAACTTATTTCGATAGCAATCAACTAATTTTCCTTTAGAAATTTTTTGCTGAGGCCCTTCAGTTTTGGGTGGACAGTAATAAATACTAATATTTTCAGTTGGGAATATTTTTATAATTTGCATTGCGATGAACTCAAAATGTTCGTTTTTTAAAGGTATTCTATATGAAATTATTAATTAATATTAATTACTATTAAATAAATTAATATAAAATAGGCAAATATTTTCTTACTCTTGTTCACCACAAAATAGAGACATTAAATGCGTAATAATCACATCAACAAGCTTTGAATGTAATTGTCTGTTCAGTTTTGTTTCTTTTTTATAATTAGCAATAATTATTCTTCCATCTATGGACTGCTCCAGAATTTCTTTATAATCCTAAAAAAAGTATATATAAAGTATATTTTTTAAATTGATTTCTTTGCTTACTATAAAAACCAAAAAATTACTTTATTTAAAAGAACGTATTGTAATATTTTCTTATGTGATACAAATATTCTATATTATTTAAAAAATAATTGCTTTGAAATTATGTTAGTTAAATAAAAAAAATTGATTTTATTTATATAGAATAAAGAATAAATCCTTTATTATTGTTAAATAATTTAAAAGAAACGTTGAAAATTAAGAAACTTACTAAAGAGTACACATTTTTAATCACAGGATCTTTTAATTTCTGACATACAGCTTCTTCTAA